TTTTTTTTTTTTTTTTTTTTTTTTTTTTTTTTTTTTGGACTGCTTGATTCAGATTCCTTGTTTGATTGATCATGTAATTCTGTTTTTAACCCACTTTTTAACTCTCTTGTGTTGGTTTGATCATCTTTGTCATTGCATTTCAATGCTGACTAGAAGCCCTATTGAGCTTTTAGTGATGTTGTGTTGTTTGACAATGGCAGATATCTAGCTGAATTACTGTCAGAGAGACAGAAGTTGGGTCCCTTTGTGCAAGTTTTACCTCATTGTAGCAGACTTCTGAATCAAGGTGGGGTTATAAGATCTCTACTATTGCATTATGTTGTTGCAATACTTGTTATTGTTTCTTATAGTTTGGATATTTCTTTCTTTGAAGTTTATTATGGGTAGACACTGTTTTCTTAATCATTTGAAAAAATTTAATTACAACCGAGCATACGATTAGAGAAGCAAACGAGTAACGATCAATTGGGAAGGAGTTTTTTACTCCCTCAGACTCATAGAAAGAAATTTGCTTCCTGTTAAAGAGAATGGACTGTTATGTGAATCATATTTCGATAATACATGAGATTAGATGATCGGAACTGAAGTTTCGTGGAGGGGCTACGAACAAGGGGACATTTTGTGGCTATGTATTGCAATGGGAATGTTGTCTGCAGTCTTTGTAAAAGAAAAATTATACTCGTCTTACTATGTTTGCCTATTACATGCAGTTAAGCGTTCTCGTTGTTTGCTGGCAGCTATTAAATACTAGCCTTATCTTATATCATTGAGTTGTAATGTGGGTCGGGTCAATCTAAGTTTAGGCTTAGCCTGTTATCAGAGCTAGACACTGGGTGGTGGTGTGTCAGCGAGGACGATGGACCTCCAAGGAGGGTGAATTGTGAAATCCCACATGGGTTGGAGAGGAGAACGAAACATTCCTTATAAGGGTGTGGAAAACTCTTCTTAGTAGACTTGTTTTAAAAACCTTAAGGGAAATCTCGAAGGGAAACCCCAAAGAGGACAATATCTGCTAGCAGTGGGCTTGAGCTGTTACACTTAGCCTGCTATGTCCAAGAGAGTTTCATTTTCTCTGTGTGGATGGAGCCAAAGATGAAACCTATTGGCCTACTCGATACTTTGTCAAGTCGTAATTAATTAGACAAAATCAATTACCATTTTCCCTACTGTCTTGTGGCCTATAAAAGATGACGTTAACTTGTGATGATGTCATGAATCTGAGACATGAGACATGATCTTGAGAAAAGTTCCCAATGACTGGTAATTTTTCATGAATAACTAGCCATTTATCTTCAAAGTCGTCATCTTACACGAGTATTTGCTTAGTCAGTTGCACGTGCACTCCTTATATAAGACGAGTATTTGCTTAGTCAGTTGCACGTGCACTCCTTATATAAGACGAGTATTTTCTTAGTCAGTTGCATGTGCACCCCTATTTATTACATCTCATTTCAGAGATCAAACGTCTATCGGGCCTTAATCAAACTTCTGTGGATCATGAGAGATTTGAGCACGGGAGTCCTTACCGTTCACTAGGTCAGCTCTCGAATGGAAGACCAATGGACTTGGAAGGTTGGCCTCCAATGCAAATGGAGGTAAATATATATTTGTCCTTGATCTACTTCTTTTCCGTGTTGCTAGTTTTTCGATATGAATGCTTTCTCTTTAATCCCTATTTTCTTTGTATAAGGATATTTTTCGAAAAATGGAAAACTTAACTTTCTTTTAAATGAATGAAAGAATACAATACAGAAAGACAATAGCCTAGATTCGAGATACAAGTGTTTCGAGTTATTAAGTTTTCATCTCGGGGGCTTGAGTTCAGAACTTCGTAGGGTATCTCCAAACATCCCGAGCCATTACTACTGGGGAGTTCCTTGGTTCTAACCTGTGTATCCTCAAAATAGAATAAGTAGTTCTTCGTGTTTTAAAACATAACCATAGAATAAGTAACATACCTATGAGCAACATGTGTGCAACACTTGGACACTCTATGTAACAGCCTAAGCCCACCGCTAGCAGCAGATATTGTCCTTTTGGTCTTTCTCTTTTGGGTTTCCCTTTCAAGGTTTGGACACTCTATGTAACAGCATAAGCCCACCGCTAGCAGCAGATATTATCCTTTTGGTCTTTCTCTAACGAGTTTCCCTTCAAGGTTTAGACACTCTATGTAACAACCTAAGCTCACCGCTAGCAGATATTGTCCTTTTGGTCTTTCCCTTTCGGGTTTCCCTTCAAGGTTTGGACACTCTATGTAACAACCTAAGCCCACCACTAGCAGATATTGTCCTTTTGGTCTTTCCCTTTCGGGTTTCCCTCCAAGGTTTGGACACTTTATGTAACAGCCTAAGCCCACCACCCCTTTAAGGTTTTAGACGCGTTTTAAAAAGCTTGAAGGGAAACCCGAAAAGGAAAGACCAAAAGGACAATATCTGCTAGCAGTGGGCTTGGACTGTTTCACTCTAAAACTTTATTGACGTGTATCACACACTTAGCACAATAGACATGCATTAGACACTAGTTGTAAACAATGAATAAGGACCAAACATTTGTTAGACACATATACGACACTTGTTTAAACATAATAAATGTAACCGCCCAAGCCCACTGCTAACAGATATTGTCCTCTTTGGGCTTTTCCTTTCAAGCTTCCCCTCAAAGTTTTTAAAACGCGTTTGCTAGGGAGAAATTTCCACACCCTCATAAAGAATGGTTCGGTCTCCTTCCCAATCGATGTGGGATCTCATAATAAATAGACACGAATGGTAATAGAACAAAAATTAATAGATTTTTGGAGTGAAATACATCAAACTCATACATGCATACATTTCAATAAATGTGTACTTATCGTATCCGTGTCCTTGATTTTTTTAAAAAACCCATGCTTCTTATTGACCTGTTTACTGCAGGGAAGTGGACATGTCCATGGTATGGGTTCGCTTCAAGCTCACTCGATGGGTTGGCCAAGGGTGCAAGGAGGAATTCCTGCTACGCCGGTAGTTAAAAGAGTCGTTAGACTTGATGTACCTGTTGACAAATATCCAAACGTGAGTCGATATTCTTACGTTAGGTGGTGATATTACTGACCTTTTGCCTCTCTGATGTTCGTAGTTTGTTGCTTAAATCATGTTAGTATAACTTCGTTGGACGACTTCTCGGACCGCGCGGAAACTCCTTGAAAAGGGTCGAAGCCTTAACGGAATGTCGGGTGTACATAAGAGGCAAGGGCTCCATCAAGGATGCTTTGGAGGTACTAAAAATTTTCAATCTTAGTCCTAACTTAAATCTTCAATATTACTTACAATGGATCTGGATGTTGTGCTTTAGGAAGAGAAACTAAAGGACAAGCCTGGATATGAGCATCTTAATGAGCCCTTGCATCTGTTGGTTGAGGCAGAATTCCCGGAGGATACGATAAACTCGCGCTTGGATCATGCCGTAGCCGTTTTAGAAAGCCTATTGAAGCCTGTGGTATGAACTAAACAACGCCCACATCAACTAAACCTCTGATCGTTTTATTATGAAGTCGTCTTCTTATGGAGTTGTTGTGTATTCCAGGATGAATTGCTTGATCAATATAAGAAGCAACAACTAAGAGAACTCGCATTACTAAATGGCACCCTAAGGGAGGAAAGTCCGAGTATGAGCCCGAGCATGTCACCGTTTAACAGCACGGGACTGAAACGGGCCAAGACAGGGAGGTAAGGTAAGGTAAGGTAAAGGAGGAGTGATGACGAGCTTTGTGGTTGACACTGTCTGTTGAAACCATCTTGAGAGCTTTTGGTGCCTTCTTGTCTTCAGCAGATGGTCAAGAATTTTGCTGATTTTGCTGTGCTAAATCTGATAGATAGGCTTATGCTATGCTATTTGGCTGACCACTTTTTTCCCTAATATGGGAGGGAAGGAGAACCCCCTCCCCCAATTCAACATTTTTTTCATTTTTTTTTTTTTTTTTTTCTCTAAGGTAGCTATTTAATTTAGGTTAAATTATAAGTGCACCCCATAAACTTTAATCATTATGCCGATTTAGTTCTTAAATTTTTATCCAACGATTTACTACGTCGGGTTAAATTAAATAGTTCTTCAGCGGTAGGGCTATGTACATACCTCGTTGATGCATGGCGGCAAAGTCGATAGAGACGGAGATCGAAACGAATCGAAGGAGACGGAAAGACGAGTTAGAACTCAAGATGAAGGGAATCAAAAGGGTTTAAGGAAAATTCAACGACCACACGAATTACACATTTTACCTATGTTGCAAGTTAATTATCGTTTTTTACTAACTAAGATTATAGTAGAAAATTAATTTTAGTTAATGGTACTACCATTTATTGAATATTGTGTTATTTTACTATTTAATATTGTTTTTATAGCCATTTTTTGCTAAGGGTAATGAATTTACACTTTTTTTTGAGTTCATGTTTTTAAGTTGACCCGTAAATTTTTATATTTTCATTAATATTTTAGTTCCAAGCTTTAAAATTTCAATAAAATGTCGATATTAATAAAAATTTCTGGATGGAAGAATTATAGACAAAAAAATAATAATAATCCTAAAGTATTTTGTTGGCTTTTATATATATATATTTCGAGTTCTTTATTAGGAGGGAGAATGAAACGAGTACATATGCCTTAGCTAGTGATTAAGCTATGCTCGTATTAGCACGTCTTTAACTGAAAGAACAATATTTGAGGCCTTAGTCAAAACTCTTTCTCCATTAAACCTCTTCTTCAAGCACTCCTTACAAAATGATTCACTATAATTCGGGAATTACAAGGCTATGCACCACCCCAGAATTTTCAAAAATCAGGGGAAAAGAAAAATCTAACCTTACAGCAAACTCAATCTATCATCTCACCATCTTTTAGACATTTGAAATGCAATAATTCCAACATAAATGGTTTCTGAGCCTGTGAAAAAAGCCAGCAGAGATTCTCAGATCTAGGAACAGGAAACGTTCGAAAATTAGATGCAACTTTGCACAGAAGAGAAGGAAAATCAAGAGAAGTGCCTGAACATTTGAGCTGTTGTAATAATCTATGATATCTACTGCCTAACTAATGAGGGACGGACCCGAAAAGAAATGATGGCAATGCAAGAACCGCGTAAAAGCTAATGTATCAGGTCTAAGAGATCTAAAAAATCTATAACAAGCAGTACAACAGCCAGAACTAGAACACTAAATCGAATTTTCAAGGTTTCGAATTGGTTCATTTACAAGATTTTGAATTTTCAAATGGTTCAAAATTCAAATATTTACTAAATACAAAATTAAAAGTTTAGAGTTTCATTAGACATAAAATTCAAATTTATATCAAATAGATCAATTAATTTTTAAAATTTTCAAATTTGTGAACGACCTATTACATATAAAATTGAAAGTTCAAGTACCTATTAAACACAAAATTGAAAGTTTAAGAATGTATTCTATACTTTAAAAGCTCAAAGCTCATAGATACACACCTCAAATTTTAGAACCTGACTTGTAATTTAACTTAAATAATTGGACTAGATTTTGTTGCAATATCATCTTCTATGGACGCGTTACTAGTCATGCACACTTATGCCCTATTTTTGTAAGGGAAGATCTAACACACTCAAGCTCAACTAAAGCTCAAAGATGTATCTTGGGGATATCTACTGTTTTTGCTGAAGATTTTTAACACCCTGTTGCCGGGTTACCTGTTTTCTTCATGTGCTTACAAATGAATGCCCTTCTCTAAGTACCAAAGGAAACAGAATCCTATCCTTTCATTACTCAGAGAAGTTATGGAAACAGGCCCCTAAGAAAGTTATACTTTTCCTGTAAACTCCAGCTTTGGGTAGTGCTAACACAACAAGCACATTCCAAAGGCATTGTGCAGTAAGAATTAGGAGTCGAAGTTAACTTTTTATTCCTGCCCTCATGCCACAAACTATTGCCATTAGCTTCTTATTGAATTTGGTATTTTCTGTTACAAGGGTGGTTCTTCCATGGAACAGCTCTTTCTCGATATCCTTTCAGATGAAATGCCACACTTTTATGGGAAAATGTTGCTACAGCTAAATTATGAAAAAAGCATGGACGGAAGGCAATCATATGATCTTTTCTAAAATGTGTGGGAGATCATAATTTATTAAATGGCTCCTCATGGAGTTCTCCAATTTATTTTGTAATTAGATTCTTTTTAGTAGTACCAATTGATAGAATGTCTTGTAACGATCTTGGCAGTGCTTCATGAGGCCTCTCCATCTATCGAATTTTCCTATTAATAATATATTTCCTATATAGAAAACATGCACTCAAAACAGATATCCTTTTATGAATATTACTTGAAAACTTACTCTTGCCCCACCTAGCAGCTTCAGCTAAGTCTCTAAGGTATCTATTTACTTTTTAAGACACCACGTCAGGCTTTTCCACTTCCCATATAAGAGTTTTAATAGTAAACTGTAAGTTTAAGTCAAGATGAGAGAGTCAAGCTTGCAATAGAATGGCTGGCAAAGAAGGAACAAAATGGGAGACGATGAGAAAACAGGAAAGGGAGGAGTTAGTCGATACCTAAAAAGTATTTTTAGCCTTTTAAGATGTAAAAGTGGTTCCAAAATGAAGAAATGGAGATGCAAAACTGAGCAATCACCTATATAACTGCACATATATAAGCATTAGGCATTCCTGTTGGCACAAACATGCCGACATTTTTTTCCTATGAAATGCCAGCAATACCCATAAAAGGCATACTTTTCACAATTTTTTGTATTCAGTTCTTTTTTGGCTTCATATTGGTGCAAATGCAAAGCCCTCTTTCTATCTCTATGTATATCTATACTTCTGGCCAAGTGGAAAGTCCCTTTTGTAATTCTCCAAAGAAAATTAATATCAATCAAATTAAATAAGAAAAGTAACTACTGGTCATGCAACCATGGATAGAAGCATACATATGGCATTCGATATAGTTTGTTCATATTGTATTCATCATGGGCAACCACATCATCTAATAGACATGACATACCACTCCAGCATATCAATATGAAGTAAGCTATTTCAGGTAAGAAATAAAAGGATGACGGGATCAAGGACATACCCAGCTTCAGTGAACTAGAATTTCAGATATTCTTCAATCCCGAAGACCAAGTTCAACCTCAAGCTCATCATCTTCTTCAAACAATTTCAGAAGTCGGGCATATTGCTCCTCTCTTCTCTTCTTCTGCCATAGCTTGAAAAGGAAAAATGATAATAACACAACTACCAAAAACCCAAGGAGGATGATGGCAACCATAGAGCCAGTTTTGCTGCTTGAGGATGAATGCTTCCCAGAGTTAATACTATCTTTGCCACTGGAATCATTAGAAAGGGCTGTAGTAGCCAACCAAAAGAAGTGTTAAGAGATAGCTGCAAAAGTAAAAATTAATGACTCAACATGTACTAATTGAAGACTGGACATTTATCATTCGACAAAAAAGTTCATTTCTAGATAAAAGATAATGGAAGATGCACAAAACAAAAAAGCAACCATGGGGTTTGGAATCTACACTGGTAAAATACCAATACACTATAGCATGATCGCATCTCCTTTGTCCAAAAAAGCATAGAAAAGGAAAATAAATAAATAAATAAATAATGAAATATGAGTACGGGTTTAATAAACATCGAAATCAGAGATGAACCGAAACTCCTCATTTCATTTGCAATGAGAAAAACAGTGCGTAGCTATTGAATGAACAAATTTTATGGCTGCTTTATGGTACACGCTTTTTGTAACTCCATAAACTTCAAAGAAAGAATGTACAAGAAGTTATTTTTTATGACAACATGGAGATTTCTTTTAAAAAACACAGATTAAGTAGTACTAGTATTTCGTGCAACTGCTTGTCTCGCTTACACATTGCGAAATTGAGATTAACAAATTACAGCCACAAACTTTCATATAAACAGATTATGAAGTTCTGAAAGTACTACTTTAACTGAGAAAGCATAAAGAAACAAAGATTCCAAAGGACATGTTCAACTAATTAACAGGGAAGGAGATTAAAAATCAAACAAAAACAAGATCTCAACACAGAATTCATGAAAAACAGTCAATTGCATCCCAGTCATTCGATTCACATCAAGAGCATCCAGCAACAGAATCAGCAAAGAAAAGAGAAAGACAAATTGCACAAATCAATTGACGGATCGCAGAAACTGAATAAAGCAAAAGATTAGAAAGAGAGAGAGAGAGAGAGATCTGAAGAAGTACCGGAGACGAAAAGTAGGGAAAGCGAAGCGGAAAGCGCAACCAAATCAGACGATCTGCGACTCAAATTTCTGCTCATATCGATTGTCTGACTATCCGTATCTAGAACCTCTGCAACAAATTCAAACGCTCGATCGCTCGCAGTAGAGAAATGGAAGAAGTTGAAAGGAAAGCTGAAAGTTGCCAAACCACGCTAATGCTAAAGCTACCTTTCGAAGTTGTTCAAGATGCATGATTATACTTCCATCAAAATTTACCAATATATTCCATTAATTTGATATTGAGGAATATTTACAAAAACATAAATAAAATAATAATAATAATAATAATAATAATAATAATAGCCCTTTAGAGTTTCATTTTTTATTTTAAAAAATGGTATTTCTTAATCTTTAGGCTTTTCTAAGAAAAATATTTTAATTTTTAGTTAAATTCTAAAAATAAAATAACATTTTTTTAAGCCCAATAATTTCTTATATTTAATTATGGTACGATAAAAATGGTTTTAAAATAGGAATAGCTTTTTTTTTCATGAATTATTTAATAAACACTTAAATTTACTCCAACACATCAAAATAGAATAAATATTAGATAATTGAATAATAAATTCTCTAAATAATCGAAAAAATAATTGTATTACAAAAACCCATAAGAAATAATTTACAAAAAGAAAAAAAATTAGAGATTTAATCTTTTAAACTCAAAGAATAAAAACCCAAAACTTCTGGTGATAATTATTGAGTTTTTTTTTAATAAAAAATTAAATTTATGAACATTAATTTCATTTATAAGTTTTTTATTATTATTATCATAATGTTTTTAAAAAATGTATGTCAAATTTTGAAACCAAAAAACTATTTGTCTCTCTCTAATAAATAAATCTCTAAATTTCCTTTATTTTTTCTCATTTATATTTTTATTTATCTAATATTTCTATTACATCTCCTCCCATTTTTCTTTATTTTTCTCTAATTCATATTTTTATGAAATTTAACTAATACTTTATCTCTAAAGTCTCTGTTTTTTTCCCTCTAAATTTACCATATTATACATTTTTCTCTAAATTATTATTATTTACATGTCTTCCCACATTTTATCAAACATTTCTTCCTAAAAAAGAAATTTAAGAACAGTAATATAACTAAAAATTAGGCTATTCAAGGACTAATATATAAGATCATTTCTGTAACAATCTAAAACATAATAAATTCACTTCATAAAAGTTAAAATTATACTTAAATGTAAACAAGAATCATAACAGCACCCCATAAGCTTAAGCTAAATATAAACGTAAAGTTTAATTAGAAAGCATAAGAAAGTTCACCTCGACTCCGAAAATAAATAGAAGACAAAATTCTACTTGAACAAAATCAGACTCAAAACGTCCACGGTAACCTTCCTCACACGTCAGTCGTCCCTTCTCTAGTCAAAAGCCCCAACCACACCACCTGAAAGCTAGCTTTTCTCTATTACTCACTTGAAGCATTTAGCATCCAAAAGAGCTTCACCCTCGAACGGTTCCTGGTCTTCAATCATTTGGTTCACCCTCTCCTTCTGGGCTTCGTCGGAGATATCCACCTTCTTCCACTCGTACAGTTCCATATCGTAGCATTCATCGATCACAAATTGCGGGATTTCTTGTCCACGGAAAAGCCATAGCCCCTTCACCTTGAATGGAGCCTCTGATCCGATCACGAGCATCTTTCCGAAGGCATACTTGCGAGCAAGATCCATTCTCTGCAGAAATCCGCTGACTTTGTTCAGAGTCACGAATGAAACTGTGTTCTCGTCGTTGTACTTGTAATCACAGAACCAAAGGGAGTATCCTTCAGGGTCATACATGTCCCAGAATCCTGCATTGCATAAACAAATGAACATAGACCACTTCAATTATACAACAGTTCCTTCTCGAGGGGAAATTGCAGCTATGTTTCTTACATGGGGCTGAAGAAAGGTTATACCTTTGATTGCAACCTCGCGGAAGTTGGTTTTAGTGTTCGAGTAGAGACGTTTCCACTCGTCCAAAATCATCTTACTGGGAGGAAGCAGGTCGAGAGGATTTTTGGCCTTCGGCTTTGGTGCCTCTTCTTCTGCAGCAGGTGCTGCTTTGGGCTTCTCTTCTTGTTTCTTGGGCTCAGGCTTTGGTTTGGCAGCTGCTGCAGCCTCTTCAGGTGTTTTCACTGGTGGAATGGCATCAGTCTGCTTTACCTCACCAATTATCTTTCGGAAATTTGGTTGATTGACCAACGTCCAGAAGTACCTCTCGACGTGAGGGAACTCAGAAGTAAAGCTTTTAGTCAATATGTACGTAAATCCCAAATAGAGATTGCATGTCAAAATGATATCAGCCAGTGTCACAGAATGACCAACAAGGAATGTGTTTGAAGCAAGGTAAGAGTTCAAAGCAGCAAAAGATCGTTTTAGGGCAGCGTTTGCAGCTTCTTCTACCTTCATGCAGAAAATAACACATAGAATAAGTCATACGCCACCGAGACAATCCACTTTTCAGATCTCAATACCCACAAACAAAGATTAAATGAGAAGAAAATAAGCTTCAAGTTCTAACTTACAGCAGGATGAAAAACACCATATCCAAATCTAGGCCTCAAAATTGTTGAAATATGAGCATCTATTTCCATTGTGGAGAAATCGATCCATTGTTCAACATGTCCCTGAAAACAATAGAATGTACAGTATGATAATAAAATCAAACGCATTGCTTTCCGATCTAAGCAATCTAAGGAAATGAAAGCATAATCAAAACCATTTAAAGAAAACGAAGGATCTTACGTAGTCAATTGAGGAAGAGCCAAATAAACTGCTGTCCTTCAAACGAGCAACTGCAGCAATAACAGAAAATTTTAGCATAAATAAGAAGAAGATTTTCATTTTAACCCATTTGCATAGTTATAAAGTCTCTTCTGTGGAGAACCACATAATAATAATTACCATAGCGAGCTATAGCATTGCTCTCAAAGATAGCACCGTCGGGTGTTTCCAACACAGGAACCTAAAATAGGCACAAATGAGTCATAGAATAAAACAATTTCTATATCTCACATGGTCAAATCACCAGATCAGATATTTGTTTACCTTCCCAATAGGATTCATTTTCAGATATACAGGACTTTTATTGGTTACGCCCATGACAAAATCTGGAGAAAGATCAATTTTGACACCATTGTATTCAGCAGCTATAAAAGCCTTGTAAGCATTTTTGTTAGCCTTCCAAGAATGCAGGACCTGCAAAAATCAATACACATATACTTCAAGAACATATCAACCAATTATCATTCACAGTACACAAAAGAGGAAAGAGTACTCATCGATCATCGACAATAAAAGTAAAGCAACTATGTCTAATCCTAAATATATGCAATCAAATTTCAATCACAATTATCAACGTGAAACACCTGAATTAAACAGGAAATGGAAGTGTATTAGATTGTGAACAAGAAAGTGTATTAGATTTTCAAAATTAAAACACTGAAACGCCCTAAAACTTAGCCACAAATATCACAACATAAACTTCTGATGAAGCGAAATGACAAAACACAGATCCAAAACAACAATACGATAAACCTCCTCTTCTTATAACCATTTCTTGACAACAATATATATATATAATAAAAAAATTCAACACACAACATAAAAAGATCACAAAAAAGGAAGTAAAATATAATTAAAAAAATTCAAAACATATCACAAAACAAAACCGGAAGTAATTAGTGGTGCTCACCAGAGCCATCGCTTCGCGGAAAAAACGTTTAGCTCACAAATCAGATCTGACCTACATCAAACGAACAGTTAGTTATATAAAGAGAATTCAACAGTATATCGAAGAGATCCAAAGTCAGTTATATAGAGAGAATTCAACATTATATCGAAGAGATTCAAAGTCGAGACTAACTTCTGATGAAACAAACACTGCTAACCAGAAAAAAGATGAGAGAAATGAAACCTGTGAAAGGCTAGCGTTCTTCCGAGAGTGAGAGGAAAGACTAAAGTCGTGTGTAAGAGAGACTATATTAAGTGAGGAACTAGGGTTTTGTCAAGCAGCTTCCGGGTCGGGTCACACCAAATTTTGTTGTAAAGGGCCAAAACCCATATATTTTTGTAATTTAGGGCTAAATTTATGTTTTAATTTAAAAATCCTTTTAATGAAATTATGTTGTAAAATTAAAATGTATCGTTTTTTTTTTTTCTCAAATATTAAAGAAATTAAAAATATTGAATTTCTTACATATTAATGCATAATTTAAAAATTAAAATAATGCATAAGCTTCCCCAACAATCACTGGTTTATGGTAATTTAAACAAATTTTAAAAAATATTATAAATTTATTTGAAATTTATAAATTTTAATAAATATAGAGTTATTGATATCTAATCAATTTTTAAAAATTGTCTAATAATCTTTAGAATTTGAATTTTATATTTAACTATAAATTAATAAATGAAAGGGAAAAAACATGAGAGAGAAATCTGAAAACAGAGTGTTTTGTAAATGATTCTGTGATGCGATGGAATATTCCATATCCGACGTTGACCCAATATTTATGTGTGATTTTTATATTTTTTTTTAATGCTAAAATATAATAAATATATTAGCCATCCTAATTTCAAATGATTTATTTACTTTTTTTTTTCCTGATTTGGTCAGACTTAATTTCAATACAATAAAAATATAATTCTAATTTTATTCTAAAATATATTTTGTTGTGTTAAATTAAATAATTATTTTATAAATAAACAAAAAGTAGTGTTATAATTTAATTTCGAAATCTATTTTGTTGGATAAAATCAAATAATTGTTTTGTAAAATAAGTATAAGTTTTTTAGATCATAAAATCAGGCCTAAACATACAATAAATTAAGTTTATATATATATATTGTTTTCAAATTAGTTATTTTCCACTCAGACACACAAGCCAGAGATACTCTTAGCACCGATCTGAAGTTAAAGCCCGACATCCTACTAAATATGGTCCTATAGTTCCATGGTGCAACAAGACACCACCTATCTAACGACCCAGATCTACCGCTAGCCGATATTGTCTTCTTTGGGTTTTCTCCTTCGAGCTTCCCCTCAAGGCTTTAAAACGCGTCTACTAGGAGAAAGTTTCAACACCCTTATAAATAGTGGTTTGTTCACCTCCCCAACCAATGTGGGACATCACAACCTAGTTGCCAAAAAAGTTACGGGAAAGAATATATTAATGTGGCTAGAACATCACAAAACTGACATGGCGTTACGACGAAATATGACTGTCCTCAATTATTCACAAATCAATTAACTATATATAAACCTATATGGGTTGTTTTCAAATCAGTTCTTTTCCACCGAGACACACGAGCAAGAGATACTCATAGCACTGATCTGAAGTTTAAGCCCGATATCCCACTAAATATGGTCCTATGGTATCGTGGTGCAACAAGGCACCACCTAGTTGCTAGAAAAGTTATGGGAGGAGTATATACAGTGGCTAGAACATCATAAAACTAACATGGCGACACGACCAAATATGACAGTCCTCAATGAATGTCGGAATGATTTTCTTTACTCCAAACTACACTGATATAATTCTCTCCAGAATTTAGTGTATGGAGATGATTAGGAGAGACAGAAAAGTATCCAAAGGTGACTGTCACAAAACATTTATACACAGAAACGTTTCAAATAGGGAACAATTCACCATAACATTGAAATCCTTGAGCCAACACAAAGTAAAGACGACTTCTTCTTAAGAAACCTGTTAACTTAGATTTTACCTTTTATATAATTAGGCGACTTCTTCTTCTTCTTTTCAACTGCAACAGCTGCTCTTTTGCTCAATTGGTTGCCCCTTCATTTGTACATTCCCCGACGACATCGACGAACTTGGCTGGCTTCCCATTCTAAAATCCATTTTGAAATGTCAGAAACAAAGCATAACAACAGAGAAATAAGCCATTGAATTTTTCAACAACGCCGAAGGAAGGAAGACCGAAAAGAATTATAATTATAGAAGGGCCAATGGAAGAAGTAACGGGTAGAATGGTTGTTACTTTTTCTTTATTTCAGCAGCCATAGTTAAGAAAGCTTGCTCCACATTGATCGAGTCTTTTGCACTCGTCTCCAGAAAAGGAATTCCAAGCTCGTCTGCAAATGCCTGCAATCCATCCATGAAGAGGAAAATACAATAAATCGAGTATTACGTCAACTTATTTTCTATATTCAAGGGGGCAGGCCGAGGAGAAGTATGGGAGAGGAAGTGGGGAGGTTGATAGAGAGAAGGGAGAAGACCTAAAACCAATAGACAGAGTAATATTGGAACTTCGGGAGTACACAAATAAATATATACCAAATGTACATCAAAGATCATAAAAATTAATAGGAACGTTCGATCAAAGGTGGCTGAATGAACTTGCTAAACGTTTGTAGTAAGCGAAAAGAAAAGTTGGAAGTTCAAAAATTATGGCACAGCTAAATAAAAATTATACCTTTGCTGTCTCTGTGTCAACAACCTTGTTCTCAACTAAATCACACTTATTTCCTACTAAAAGCTTGCATACACTATCATTAGCATATCTATCAATCTCATTCAGCCATTGCTTGACGTTGTTAAAGCTCTCCATCTCAGTGACATCATAAACAATCTGTTGCAATTCAAACAAAATACTGTGACGATGACAAGTTTCTTTGATAAAAAAAAAAGTCAACTAATGAACCGGACAAAAAAAAATCCCCAATTCACTTTCTGGGCAAGTTATTTTAAGAGATCACATCCTCCCAATTTATCATAGATATTGGCTTAAGGGTTTTTCCCACACCTAATACAAACTGATATTGGCTTATGGGCTTATGGGCTTATGACGCTAATAACAATTTTTTTTTTTTGATGAAACCGTGCCCCGGCCATCTACGGAGGGACGTATTCTTCCACCAGCATTTTACCATTGGCAAAAATTCAGAATGGTTCAGCCACATTCTCAAATCGAAAGGGCGAGGGGCCCCATTTACAGCAACAATATGACATTAGAACAAAATATTCTAATCAAGAACCAGCAAATTACGTGTTCTAATCTAAACAACAGGCTGAGAACAAGTAAGAGAGAGATCTCGTAAATTCACAATACAAATATTTTAATCCCTGAACTTAACAGGGAAGATTCTTACAATTATTCCATGTGCTCCTCTGTAATAGCTGCTTGTTATAGTCCTGAATCTCTCCTGACCAGCAGTGTCCCACTAAAAAGAATAAAACAATAGAATCAGTCAAGTCTTCTGCATATCAAATTAGATTTCAACAAGTCCTTGAAATATGAGGAATACAGCTTTTGTAAAAAAGGGAAGACAGAAGAAGTGGATTAGACGGTCAACAATAACTATAAAGGTAACTGCACATTCAATTTCACGTCTCTAACAATGCATAGCAACATTATCCACTTTGATCTGTTCGTCTATTAATAATTACAAAAGTTTTCATGTCAGTTAGGCGTGCATAGAAAACGTAATTTGGCATATAAATTAAGATTGCAACTGATAAGAATAGCCACAACCGAAAAAGCAAGTGATTTAACAGCCTGTGTACCAACATGATGACTTTCGCCTGAAATTTAAATTTCATATTAATCGATAAATTCAAAAAAAAAAAAAAAAGTAGAAACATGCAACTGAATCAAAAGATGAAAAGCTAGACTTTAGAAAGTATCTGAAAGGAAAAAAACCGTTCTATTTCCCAGATGTATAAGCCCTCACAAGGCTATTAAATGATTAATCACGCAGCAAAGAAAGATACCCTCCATGAATAAGAAAGAAAAATTCTAAAAGCAAGAAGCTATGTAAGCCTACTCACAATCTGGAGCTTAACGGTCTTTCCATCCAGTTCCACAGTTCTGATTTTCTGAAAAATCACAGAATATTAGCTATAAGGAGCAAAATCCAAAGCAATGGCCCATACAAGATCTATATAAAGTACAAAACGAAGGCAACGGTTTCGAAACTCACGAAATCAACTCCAATCGTACTTATATAGCTATCCACATAGGAATCATCCTGAAAAAAAACAGGAAAGAAAAACAAAGCAATTAAGTATTTCTGTACTGATGAAGATAACCCCTAAAAAACACGAGATAAAGCCCTAAATCATCCCCATTTCCACAAACCGACACATAAACAGATGAAAACAAAAAATGCAGAAATCAAAAATTCTACAACCAACTCACCGCAAATCTGAGAAGAAGGCACGACTTTCCAACAGAAGAGTCGCCGATTAGCAAGAGCTTGAACAAATAATCACTGCAAAAGGGAAAACAGCATAAACAACGAGTTAGATATCTGAGGAGTTGGATTGAAGAAGGAAAATTAAGAAAATAAAAAATCATGAACTGAATTCAAGTATAACATACTATTCGTTGCTCATGGTTTGAATCGAAATTGAAAATTCTGCCTCCGTAGTTTTCTCTCGGCGTCTTCGGACCGAATGCGAAGGGGGAGAGAGTGGGAGTGAAGTAAGAGACCCGTTTAATGATTTTCTTTTTAAATTTTTTTTAAAAAAAAAACTTAAACTATTAATTAAAGTTTGTCTTTTTCTTTCTCTCTCCTAAACTTTACTAGATGTTCTTTAAATCCCCCATTAAATTAAAATCATCAATTTTTTTTATTTTTAAAATGTATAGTAAATATTTAATTTTTTTTTAATAATTTTTTTTTTTTTTTTTTTTTTTAA